CTACTGCGAGGGGCAACGCGCCCGGTACCAGTCCTGCCACACCCAGGAGTGCCCTCCTGACGGTGAGCCCGGCTTCCCAAAGCCACCCCGGCCCCACCAGCAAAGGGTGCAGCTCCTGGCACCCCTGGCAAGGGGTTGTCCTTTTCCCTGGAATGTTATGGAATGGCAGGGATGCGGGGAGGGAGGGATGGAAGGGACCTCTGGAGATCATCAAGTGTTGTGCTAGGGTAGGAGCACTAGAGTAGATCCCACAGGAACAGGTCCAGATGGGTTTGGGATGTCTCCAGGGATGGAGACTCCACAGCCTCCCTGGGCAGCTCATCCCAGCACTCTCATCCTCACAGTAAAGAAGGTTCTCCTTATATTTAGGTTGAACCTCCTGTGCTCCAGTTTGTGCCCATTGCCCCTTGTCCTGTCACTGGGCACCACTGGGAAGAGTCTGGCCCACCCTCCTGCCACCCCCTGTAGATATTGATCAGCTCTAATCAGATCCCCCCTCAGCCTCCTTCTCTCCAGCTGAGCAGCCCCAGCTCTCCCAGCCTTTCCTCACAGGCAGATGCTCCAGCCCCTCCAGCATCTCAGTGCCCTGTGCTGGGCTCTCCAGCAGCTCCTTGTCCTTCTGGAACTGGGCAGCCCAGACCTGCTCCCAGAGCTCCAGGTGGGGCCTCAGAGGGGCAGGAGAACCTCCCTGACCTGCTGGACTCACTCTTCTCAATGCCCCCAGGATGGCACTGGCCTTCTTGGCTCTGAGGGCACATTGTTGGCTTCTAGTCAGCCCGTTGCCCATCAATATTCATATTTTTGGGGAAATACCCCTCTGCTGGAGGTTGTGACCCCTTTCAGCTGGGTGGGAGGTGTGGGACATCCCTCCTCTCCCTGCACGTCCCCCGTTTGCTCCTTCACCTCCATGATGGCCCGGGAAGAGGAGGATTCCCAACAGCTTCCCACAACTCCTGGGTCACATTTCACCTTTCCTTTCAGGGAAAAGCTTTCGGGAGCAGCAGTGTGAGAAGTACAACAGCTACAACTTCACGGATCTGGAAGGGAATCACCTGGAGTGGGTTCCCAAGTACGCGGGGGTCTCGCCCCGGGACCGGTGCAAACTCTTCTGCAGAGCCAGGGGGAGGAGTGAATTTAAAGTCTTCGAGGCCAAAGTAAGAGAATCACAGAATGGTTCGACTTGGAAGGGAACTTTAAAGGTCATGTAGTCCAACCCCACTGCCATCAGCAGGGACATCTTCAACCAAATCTGGTTGCTCCAAGCCCCACCCAACCTGACCTTGAATGTTTCCAGGGAGGGGGCACCTCCCACCTCTCTGGGCAACCTGTCCCAGACTCCTGATAGACACCTGCTGATGATAACCATCCCTCCTTGCCCCATTTCAGATCCAGTGCCCTCATTGCTCCCCCTTTCCTAGGTGATCGATGGGACGCTGTGTGGACCAGAGACCCTCTCCATCTGTGTCCACGGGCAGTGCATCAAGGCTGGCTGTGACCACGTCATTGGGTCCTCCAAGAAGCTGGACAAGTGTGGGGTGTGTGGTGGCAACGGCTCCACTTGCAGGAAAATATCTGGCTCACTCAACAGATCCAAGTAAGGGGTCCACAGAGATGAGATGGAGGGAGAAAAAAACAGCTTCCCCTCTCATTCTCCTTTCTTCTTCTATTCCTCTTATTGCAAAAGTGCAAGGCTGGGACTATTGGGACTCCTCCCAGGTCACATAAATCCAAGCAGAGTTGATTTCCTAAAGCATTAGCTTGGTACACCACTGGAAATAAATCTGCCCTGAGGAGTTGACAACATGCATCTCACCCCAGTGCAGTGGGTTGGACTCACACTCAAGAGCTGATGAGGGATATAAATAGCTCAGTAACTTTCTCCTGGGCTTGTCGGGTGAATTTCAGTCCTGGTACACAGGCACTGAGGCAGCCACTTCCCTCACCCAAGACCTCGTTGCTTTGCCAAAGAGCTGAATTTAAGGCTTTTGTTGAAAATATCCTCCCAAAAGCCCAACGTGCCCAATTCCATGTGGTGAGGTGACTCATGCAGTCAAATTAGATTTCCTAGATGGTTTCCTTCCAGGGAAATGGGGCTTCCAGTCTCCTATGAATTGTTTGTGGTTGACTAAAGAGCCTAGCATGGCAGTTACAGCCAAGAAGAGATCCCAGTAAGACCAGGGTTAGGGAGGCCAGGGTTACTGTGCAGCTGCCTGGAAATCATCCTGCTGGCTCCGTGGTGTGTCATGCCAGGATGGCATTTTATTATAGCAGAAAAATAATTACCATAGCATGGGCTGAAGAGGCCTGGAGTACCAAAGCTGTCCTGGGAGTTGTGGTGCTCTAGGGATGGACTCTGGCTGGCTTTGCTGGGAAACCCTGGAAACGTGCCCTGTGGCCTCCAATGGGAGCTCTTCTGCACCAGGTTGAGGGCTGCAAAACCCTCCAAAGCTGAGTCCAGGGTGCAGAGAAGCCCAGACATGGAGAGGGATGGATTTGCTGCCCTATTCTGCACTTGTGTGTCTGTGTCTGTATCTTTATCTGTATATCTATAAATCTATCTATCTATCTATATCTAAATCTAAAGCTGTATCTTTACCTACATATCTATATCTAAAACTAAATCTAGATCTATATGATCTAAATCATTTATATCTAAACCTATATCTATCTGCTTCTGTCCTTCAACTTCACCAGTGACAGCAGCACCGGGCAGAGCCAGGCTTTTAGTTCCCAACACTTCACCCTTTTTGAAAGAAAGGGAAGAAAGGGCATTTTCTCACATACAAACACACACACACACCACCCCCACC